TAATTAGATTGCTATTTTTTCTTTTGTCATTATTTAAAATTAAAAATAAAAGTTATGTTATTAACTGTAGCTCTATCAGCAACAGCAGCATCACCTCACCTCTCTCCCTCTCTCTCTCTCACACACACACACACACCTATCATTGTCTTTTGTAACCAACACTCTTTTTTATTGCTTTATTCTACTATTATTTTGCTTTACTGTATTTTATGTTATACTAAATTGTTATGATCAATGGTAAAACATTTTAATAAGTACATTATTTTGTTTGTTTGTTTGTTTACATTTATATGCCCCTATTTTCTCTATAAGGCAATTTTTGTAGTTTAATGCATCAAATTTTGCTGCGGAAAATATTTATAACTAGATTTTTTTTTCATAAAAACATTCTAAAGTCACCTGGAGAAAGCATGAAAAACTGATGTTCATTGATTTATTAAATAAAATTAAGTATGTTTTAGAGCAGTGCAGAAGAGAAGTACTAGAAAGTCTTGGAACTGTTTCAAGCTTTCTTGGCTCAGTGGAATATTTTATCAAACTTTTTTTCTTTCAAAACCAACATAGTATCTATAAAATTGCAGCACAGGAAGAGAAACAAAAATACAAATACTTACATCCCATAAGTATTAAACCAATTAAGCAAAAACAGGAAAAAAACTAAATTTTCTGTTTTCATATATTGCTTTCAGTGTAAATAAAAAATATTTGCTAAATTGTCCATAATTGCCCTAAATATTTTGTATAAAGTGTCCAAAATCAATATGAATTTAACTCAAGAATGAGTATTTTAAGAATCTATTTTTAAATTTTAAATTTAATATTTAAATTTAATATAATAAATTTAATATTTAAATTTATTTTATTTATATATAATATTAAATAAAATAAACATGTAAATATTTAAATAAAATAAAATAATTTAAGAATATAATTTAAGAATAAATAATAATTTATTTATTATTTCACATAATTTTTCTTTAACAATTTTAAGGATGAAGTTCTATAGTAATACTATATCTTATAGTATTATCGTATAATACTATAAGGTTATCTTATATTAAGATATAATATTATTATAGCTTTATTTTAAGATATAGTATTATTGTAGTATTATTTCTAAATACTATAGCATTGTATATATAATCAGC